ACTTCCTTATATTAGTTTATGAGACATGTATAATTGATCCTGGCTACTTTTTCTTTTTTTCTAGTGCCTATAAAAATTAGCCCAGATCTGTTCAACTTTTCTGGTACTTCTGTTTCTCTCCTTCATAATGCCCTCACCCCTCCCTATCACTCAGTTCCCTGCATTCCTTGAGTTTTAAATAATCCTGCCCCAGATAGTTTAACAACTTCACCCCCTGCCACCTTGTCCCTAAGTTAAACACTTCCAATTCCCAATTAGGTAATATCTTTTACCCTTGTCCCCATATCTTTAATCACATGGGTGCTTCTTCTTGGCATGCTTTCCCCACCTGCCCCTTTCTTTCTCCCAGTCTTTGTATTCCTCCTTTACAGATTCAATCAATACTGGGTATCCCCTCTATCATTGTCATCTTCTTCTTCCTCCTCCTCCTCCTCCTCTTCCTCCTTCTACTTCTTCTTTTTTTTGGTTGGGTAACTGTGTTTTTTCCTGGACCCATGAGCTCCAAGTCAAGTTGCCATTTTCAATCTAATTGTGGGGGGCACAGCCCACCATCCCATGAGGGAATTGAACCAGCAATCTTGTTAAGAGCATGTACTCTAACTAACTGAACCATCCAGCTGCCCACTAGCAGCTCAGCTCAAGTCTTTGTCTTCAATCTAGTTGCAGAGGGCTCAACTCACTGGCCCATGTGGGAATTGAACCAGCAACCTTGTTCAGAGCATGTGCTCTAACCAACTGAGCCACCCGACCACCCCTCCTCTCTTTCTTTTGCTTACCCTGCCACAGTAATTCCTTTTTCTCTACTGAGCCTTCATGAGACACAGTTGCCTACCTAATTTTTTCCCAGTGGTTATAAGTATCTTCAATTGGAACACATCCATGCACACTCCTTTAGATCAGCGGTTCTCAACCTTCCTAATGCCACGACCCCTTAATACAGTTCCTCATGTTGTGGTGACCCCCAACCATAAAATTATTTTCGTTGCTACTCTATAACTGTAATTTTGCTACTGTTATGAATCATAATGTAAATATCTTTTTGTTTTCCGGTGGTCTTAGGCGACCCCTGTGAAAGGGTCATTTCACCCCCAAAGGGGTCGCGACCCACAGGTTGAGAACCACTGCTTTAGATAGTGTCTGTGACTTCTGTGTGTGTTCCAATGGCTTCTTATTATTTATTTGTGGTAAAATATACACAACAAATTTACCACTTTAACCATGTTTAAATGTACAATTTATTGGCATTAAGTACATTTTCATTGGTATTCAATCATTACCACCATCCATCTCCAGAACTTTTTCAACATCCCAAACTGAAACTCTTACCGATTAAACAATGACTCCCTAATCCCATCTCCCCTAACCCCTGGTATCCTCTATTCTACTTTCTTTGTCTATAAATTTGACTATTGTAGGTACCTCATATAAGTGTAATCACATAATATATTTGTCATTCTGTGTCTGGCTAATTTCACTTAGCATAATGTTTTCAAGTTTCATTGATGTTGTAGCATGTATCAGAATTTCCTCCCTTTTTAAGGCTGAAAAAATTCCATTGTATGTATATACCACATTTCATTTATCCATTCATCTGTCTGTGGACAATTGGTTTGCTTCCACCCTTCAGCTGTTGTCAATAATAGTGCTGTGAACATTAGTGTACAAATCTCTGTTCAAGTCCCTGCTTTCAATTCTTTTGAGTATATACCCAGAAGTGGAATTTCTGGATCCTACTTAATTTTAGTTAGTTTTTATTATGTGGCCTGCTATTAGCTTATGAGCTTTTTGACATTAGGGGCTCTACTTTATTCTTCTTTATTCAGAGCTGAGCACAGTGCCTGAACATAATGGAGATTGGACCTTAGGAGGGATTTTATAAGGATAAGGAAACGGAAGAACCATCTCCTGGCTCACACAGCTAATAGGGCTTATGAGAGTGGATAGAGGCTGCTGGTATCTAAGTGCCTGTTCCTTGTGCTCAGTCTCCCCAGGATGATCCCAATGGTAAATTCAAACATAATTACAAACAGTGATTCCCCCAGTGTAAGTCTATTTCCTAAAAATCATATCTTCTCCATTTAAATAATTGAATGTTCAACAACATATGGTCTGATTATCACTCTCACTACAATTAAGTTACAGAAAACAGGAAATTTTTTTCCCTTTTGTACCCTAAGTACGTCAATGCCTCTACTGCCACATGAGGAATCCCCAAATGAAATGTAGATCATGGTGCTTTCTTGTTCTTGAGTTATTAATCTCCCCTGGGATCTCCATTTATCCTCTGCTAGTAAATTGTAGAAACTCGATGTATTCTACTTTGTATAATTAAAATGAAAATATTATAGCAAATGGTTATCTGCTGTGTAGGACAAATTTATGTGAATGCCCAAGAATTTGAAGTATTCTTATTAACTATAGCATACTAAATTAGGTAGGATTTGCATGGGATACTCCTGACATTCAGCTGTCTAATGAAAAACATCTGCATTGTAGAAATAAGTAGACATGTAATGTCTTACAATGGCAGTGTCACCTTGACTTGCCTATACCCTAGAAAGTCAAAGTCTATCATATTAACCAGCTTTCAGGACTTCTGTTTATTGGCTTCTGGGTAGAGCCTTACTGAAATGTCCACTTACATGCTACTTCTCTGTAAAGTTCACATGATACCATCTTCACATCTCATCTATTGCATAGCTCAGTAACATCCTCTACTATAAATTTTGTTGTGGAATTCAAATATGGACTTTCATCTTGATCTTTTCTCCTTATTCAAATAATTCTACATTTTTCTCTATCATTTATTTGTTTTAAACCAACCACCCAATCACTTTTATGTAGTTGGGATATAAAAATAAGTATTTAATTATCCATTGAACCTGCAAATAAGTTTATGTGGGGAGTAAGGGGGGGTGTCATTTGACAATTAGACCAAAGGGGAGTCTTTTTATTGTTTTCATCTGGGTTTCCCAGATAGCTTCATATTTTTAAGTTTTAATTAATACAATTTAGAAAATTAAGATGAATGATAAGAAATATATTTTAGCATTGAGTGAGAGAACGATGAACCCATCTCACTAGAGGAAGAAACCAGTGGGAAACACGGATCAGAGTGAAACTTAGTTCAGCAAGGGGTTAGAGCCTGAGAGAATGAAAGCTTTAACCAAAATGAGTCTCGGCTATTTAGTGGAGCTATCTAGGAGAAGATGAGTGGAGAGCTCTCTCAGGTCACTGCCCTCGGGACAAGGCAAAATGCCAGGATCCTGGAGGCAGGCAAAAGAAAATTCAACCAAAGAGATCAGTGAGCCAAAGACAGTAAATAGTGAGAAATGTGAGTTACTCCTGAACTCTCAACCTTTGTTCTGACAGTTTCATCCTCATTGTATATAGAGACCTCAACGTGAAGTTGCCTATTTGCTTTATTGTGATAATTTCTCCTTTTAATATATCCCTGGATGCTCATTTTTTTAGTTAACTTTTCATTTTGAGATCACTGTCAATTCACATATATGTAGTTATAAGCAATAATACCCTTAACCCGGGTTTACCCCAGTGGTAGCACACTGTAAAACTATAGTATGATATTACCATGGACATCAACACTGATACAATCCACCAATAGCTTTCATAGTACCCGAATTTTCTACTCTATAGTGTGTGTGTGTGTGTATGCATGTGTGTTTTTATACAATGTTATCACATATGTACATTTGTGTTTCCACCATCAGAGTCAAGATACAGAACAGATCCATTACCACAAGGATCCCTCATGCTGTCCTTTTGTAACCACATCCTTCTCCACACCCACCTCAATCCATTCCCTAACCTCTGGCAACTGCAACTCTGTTCTCCATTTGTCTAATTCTATCTTTTATATATATATATATAATTTCCATGAGGTTCACCCAAGTTGCTGTGTGTATGAACAGTTCATTCCTTTTCATTGCAAAACGATAGTCCATGGTATGGATGTACCACAGTTTGTTTAACCATTCACCCTTGAAGGGAATCCGGATTGTTCCATGTTCTTGGCTGTTGCAAATGAAGCTAGTATGAACACTTATGTATCGAGTTTTGTGTAAATATCAGTTTTCATTGCTTTGGGATAATGCCCAAGAGCCCAATTGCTGGGCTGTATGATAAGCACCTGTTCAATTTTGTAAGAAACTTCCAAAGTGTTTTCCAGAGTATCTGTACTATTTATATTTCTGCCCAAAATGCATGAGTGATCCAGTTTCTCCATATCCTCATCAGCATTTGATATTATCACTATTTTTCAATTTTAGCCATTATGATACATGTGTAGTACTATTTCATTGTGGTTAAAATTCACATTTCCCTAATGGCTAATGATGTTGACCATCTTTTCATGTGCTCATTTGCCTGATGCTTATGTTTAATCTGTGTATCAAAAAATACTGAGAGTATGGACAGGAGATAAGATTTGCCTTGAAAAATGAAGCCCTGCCAGATTTTGACTCCCAAATTCAGTCCTGAATAGAGAAAAGAGAGCTGGCCATCATCTCCATTGTTTATGAGAGTTCTAATACGTGTTTCTAAAGCAAGGACATTTTAGTCAAATACAGTCACCCCTAATTATAGTATATTCCTCTGAGCTAGATAAAAGGACTGATGAAATTTCTTTTATTTTGAGTTTCAATTATGTATTGGGAAGCACATCTTAATTTTAGGCATTCTTTATGAGTTATTGTTACATATTTCATTTGGAGATACTCTGATTTGCTTCCTTAATCTTCAGTAATCTATTTATATCCTAAAAGTACATTTATTTTGTATCTGTTCATAAATGTGTTTGCGGGTACTTGTTACAGAGAATGCATTTCAAAATGTATTGTGTTTCATTTTTAGATGATTTTTAAATGTGGTAATGCTACTTAGTCTCTGAAAATAGCTAAACACAATTACCTGCATATGTTTTCTTTCCAAGTAGACATTTTGTCTCCTTCCTTCAAATGTTTCCCCTTTATCTTTAACAGGTTGATTTAGTGAATATCGGAAGCGCTGACATAGTAGATGGAAATCACAAACTGACTCTTGGTTTGATTTGGAATATAATCCTCCACTGGCAGGTAAGAATCCTGATGAATGTTTCCTTTTTGGGTAACATGTTGCTGATTCTTCCATTCATTTTCACCGTTGACAGGCAAAACAAACATGTATATCTCTAACAATAGTGCTGCCTTTTAAATTGGTATGACTAAGGTAATTTGAGATGTGAAGGATCAGCAGATTATAAATCAGGTTCTAGCACATTTGCAGGAATATTTTTCTAAATTTTATTTTCCTGCGTAGAGATGAAAAAAAAATCTCATCAACAGATTAACAAAAATTTTTTTCACAAATATGTGTCTTCTATAACTTACCTATAAGTGAATTTACATAGCTTTGTAAAAAGAAAGGTATGTTTCCTGTTAATCACTACCAAATGAACGAGATGTGAATCTTGTGTAGTCTCGATATGAATTCATTCCAATTAGTGGGATATGATTATCTGTATGAGTATGTGTGTTATACGTACCAACTGACTTCCTCATCTGATTTGGAAATTGCATTTTTTTCTGAACCACCTCAGCATAGAGTCTCCTGAATGCCTATATTTATTGGACCTCTGCAAAACAGGTCAAAGGTCATTTGATTTAGTAGAAAGAGTATACATGAACACAAATTTCAACTCCCCCATTTACCGTCTTAGTGACACTGGATATAATGCCATCCCTTTGTAGGCCAAAATTCTCTCACTGTCAAAGTAGAAAAAAAAATTGACATGTACATTTCTTGTCAGTATTAAATGAGAGAATATCTGTAAAGCACTCAGTACAGTGCACCATTTTCATTAGAGGTGTATCATATGAATAACTTTGATTGCTTAGAGTTTTCCACTCATATTTTAAGAATCTGGAGGATAATTGAGATGTTTCCTCTTTTTACTAGCAGAGATTTTCTTTTCTAAGATAGCTTTTTTGAGATATAATTTATATATCATAAATTTACCTGTTCTAGTATAAAATTCAAAGAATTCCAAGCTGGCTTAGTTCTGTTGGCCAGTGCTTCTCAAACTATTTTGAGGATGGAACAGTTTTCCTATGCCCAATCCATAAAAGATGTTAGGATATTTACAGAGTTGTACAACCATCACAACAGTCTAATTTTAGCACATTTCCACCACCCTAAAAATAAATCTCCTGTCCATTTACAGTCACTCCCCACTCCCACCGCCAGCCCTAGGCAATCATTCATCTATTTTCTGTCTCTGTCTGCCTTTTTGGATAGTTCATATCAATGGAATCATATAATATATATATATTTTTATAGCTGCCTTTTTTCATTGAGCATAATCTTTGAGGTTCGTCCATATTATAGTAGGTATCACTACTACATTTCATAGGGCTGACTTTTAACTTGAATTGTAGGTTGGTCCTGCTCAGAGTCAGACAGCAGTTGACCAGAATTATACATACTCAGTTCAGCAGCCATATTGTCTCCCAGTTGGTCCCTATCCCCATATCTTTCTATTCTAAACACGCTAAACAGGCTCAATCCTATTTCACAGCAATATAGGAAGAGCAAGAACAACCACATTGGCTGACAATAAAGATTAGCTTATATAAACTTCAAATAAGCCCAAGATTCCCAATTCTGGGCCTTTTTCATATAAGGATGGTGTCAGATAGAACCAGCAAGGCAATGTAAGACCCCTCCCCACCCGCCGCCGCCAACTGGTTTACTTCTGTTGCTTAGTACTTCTTAAACTATCTTGAGAAAAGCACAGTTTCCCTCCTTTTCCATTGTATGTCAATTACAATAAAACTGAAGCATTACAAAAATGAAATAAAAAGACATGCAACACCCAAGCCTCTTTTTAATCAATACATTCAATAGACATAGATAGACTCTGTAAAATTGCTACAGAAGCTTCTAATGGACTATGAATTGTTTTATTTATCTTATGGCCTGGTAACAAATGGATCGTGGAAGGACACCAGCTTACAGAAGGCACTTTCAGTTGTGCAGATGTTGGCCGTGACAAAGCCATCAGGAGACCCTAGTCCTGGCCAGAGCCCCGAAAGACGATTTTAATTTTATGTATCATCAAAACTCTCATATAATCACATCCTTTCTTATCTCCTCAAAACCCTTTCCAGCTCCATCTCAATTCCCTGCAAGATGGAGTTTCACAGCTAATCTGATATTTCCTTCATTTGCTGGGAGCCTGCTCATTTTTTATTATTAGCGTGTGGAGAGGCTTTCATACCCAGGCATACCAGAAGGGATGCTTTTGCAGTCTTTCCTTGTCTGAGACCTCTGTTGTTTTCCATCTGTGTCCTTGAATCACTGTATCTTTGTGATACAAGGGCCTTTGCAAGGGCCTACTCTTGCCAGCCTTTGCTTCCTTATCTCTCTCTTCTCTATCACACTACCCTGTTCTCCTAAAACTAGTATGCATACTTTAAAAAAAATCCCTCCTGCTCAACACTTCTATCATAACCTAGTGAATCCCAAAAGATATTTTCAGCAAGAATACATATGTCCTTCCTATTAAATAGTCAAAAAAGCCGTTGGATCTCCACAAAGATTAAAGGATACTCTGGCCAATCTAATGTACTTTCCAAAAGTACTAAAAGATGCAAAGATAGGAATCTTTTGTTCCAGTGCCACATACTATGCTATTAATAGTGCCGTGGAGGACTTCTCTTTGTACTTGTAAAACCTCAGAAGTGCCAACCCTATTTCTCTTGTCATTGTCTTTCCAATTTCCATTTAAAATTGTTAGCCTGAAAAATAATGCCTATATTGAGGAGTAAGCAGCTTTGAACAAAACTATGCAGTAGACAACGTGTACTTAGCATCTTTTGCTTTCTCATTTTTAAGTGCAGAGCATCCTTTTTAGGGTGGCCTACCTAGCGCCTTCTGTGCCAGACAGTTCCTGCTCTGGTCTTCTGTGGGCCTCCCTCACACACTACTATCATTTCCTTGGAGAAGATGATCTCTACCCCTCTCCACTCCTACCCCTCCACTGCAACTCCTTTCTGTCACAGGATGGATTCTGGGAAACCGCCTTAGAGTTAAGCAGGCAGGATGTTAATTAACGCCTGCCTTTGGAACCAACACCTGTAGAAGGGAGACGGTGACGAGTGAGAAGAACTAGAGCTGTGATACACAGCCAACAACAGTCTTATTCAACCCCATGGGGAACCTGGAGTTAGAATGAGCCTTTAGAGTTGTCCTGAAATGGCTGAGTCTTTATACTATTTCCCTCCTCAGTCACTGGATGTGGGCTGCCTTAGGAAGGATGTGACCTTAGGTGACATGACTGCAGCTCAGGTAGTTCCTGAGGGGGACTCATAGCTGTAGGCTGCCTGATGACATCTGGAGCAACAAGTCCTTCCTTGAATGAGAATTTTGGTTGTGTATCTCCGTGTCCATCTGCCTTTCTTTGCTCAGTGAACTCCTAGTCACATTTTGAAATCACTGCGCAAAGACATTTGAATTTTTTTCCTTTTCAAAACAGATGTATAGCTGTATGCATGCACACGTTTGTTTAAATTTCTCTCTTAGGGACAGTAAGCCTTGAGTGTGGGAAATTTTGCTGTTAAAGACTCACCTTAGGACCAGCTCAGTGTCTGATTGAAGGTGGATCCTTAATAATGATTTTTTGATAACTGTCTTTTATGTAGGAAAAGAAAAACTGATTATCTCTCATCACCCTTTATGTTTTTTTCTTGGCAACATTTGCACTCAAGTAGAAGCAATACCAATGAAGCTGAGGCTGGTAGCTGAATTAGTGACATAATCATGCTAAAGGAATTTTGGATTGAATAGTGGGTTGTCCTGTAATACGATGTGCATAGAGGGCAGCATTTCGTAAATGAATCCCATTCATCGTGGGAGGGTTGTCCGATCAGTAGAAATCCATTACCACCATTGAGCCAATATCTGCAGATTCCAGCCCTGGTTCAGCACAGGACAAAAAGTCCACATTCGGCAGTCACTGTACATGGAGCTTGCACTTTAAAACTTTAGAAAGTGATGAGAAAAACGATGTATCTTACATAACTATCTGACCTATTTTCTTACTGAGTGACTGGCTAAGTAAGCAGGTCAGGAAGGAATTAAAAAAAAAACCTAGATAATCCTCCTCTAACTAATAGATTTAGCTATCAAGGGATGGTGACAAATACATGCAAAGATTTCACATCTTCAAATCATTACCGCGTTTACAAAACATCATCTTAAATCCTTTTCAAGTACTTTAAAGTTAGATTTAATAGTCTATTCTAAAATTTGCATTGAATCTTTCATAAAAAGATGACTAACATTGGAGATGTTAAAATATGTATTTTCCCCAGAGGCATTTGTTAACTTCTGCACGGATGAAGAAGCAAAATAAAATGTCATATTCAGAATACACAATAAATATTCATCATCTGATCAAATGGTGGTGGATATAGACCTTATACTAACCAAAAGGAAAGTCCTTGGTGGTAACACCTAATCACAATTACTTACGTACTTCCTTCAAGTATATAATAAGGAGCCTGGCTTATATTAAAGAAATAGCCTAGTAATTATTCCTGTAATAGAATATGTTTGTGCTATAACGAGGTGTCACTGCATTCTTGCAACCTAGAAAAAATGTTTCGAATGGATTTCAGCATCAGATTAGTAGGAAGAATGAAGCTTCGAAATACAACAACCTGTAGAGTGGCATTTGCATATGTACAAAGCCTAGGTGAGAAGAGAATGTTCAGAAAACAATAAAAAAAAATACAAGCAAGAGTCTGGCCTTTTTCTCCTTCCGCACAGTCTGGGCTTCTGCTTCCCTCCCGGGTAGGGAGTGGGGGTAGAGAAAGAAGAGGCTGAGCCTGGGGCCCTCAGATTGGACCTTGACCCTGACCCCTACACGCCTGGCTCCGCCCACCTGGCGAAGCATTTCCGGGGCGGTGCCTTTCTTGGCTGTGCGCTCCACGCCAGCTCGCGTCTTCCTCCGCTCGCTCAAAAGACCACCTCCTGTGGGCAGCGTCGGGTCTCTACGCTCATTTCCTTTGTGCGCTACTTGGGGTCCTCAGCCGCCGCCTTCCTCCCCGTGCCCCAGCGGAGTTTCTGGTGGCCTTCTGCTTCCTTTTTGCTGATGCCAGGCAGCTGAACGACAGGTGGCAGGGCTTGTGCTGGCGATGAACTTCCTGCGCTGTGTCACGGCAGCCCTCACCTACTTTGCCATCTCCATCGGACGTGGCTTCCAAAGCAGCCGAGGGGTAGGAATTCTTTGCTGCCATCCTGTTTGCAGTTGACTTCTACCTGATTTCTAACGCAGCTGCTGAATTCCTCCAACAAGGGGACTCCCTGCAGGCGAGACTATAGCAAACCAGGTTCTGACTGGCTGGCTGTAAGGAGAGAGTGGGTCTCAGTGCCCTTAACTTGTACCTCACACCCTTGGAGGTCATGTCTTTCGGTGACGTAACTATTCTGGGTCTAAGACTGTTTTGTAGAAAAACGGTAGACTTGCTGACCAGGTCCAAAAGATCATGGGTACCAAACGATGAAATGACAGTGGCAGGGTAGGTAAGCAGGCCCAACCAAACCCTCTCTTTCCCTGGGGTCCCGCAGCAGGTGAGAGGTCTCCCACTTAGGACAGTGTGCTTCTAGATGCCAGAGCAGGTCTCCTGACCACCTCCTAGGAGGCAAGATGTACCTTCTGTGTTCACCTAAGGACCTATGCTGTGTACGTATCTTCAGTGGGATTTTGTATTTTATATATATAATTTTTTTAATATGAAAGTGGCATTTCCAGTAGCCCAAGAGGCCTTGTAATTGAGCCAGAGTTCGGGACCCATGCTTTGGACATTTTGCAACCTTAGTTCTACTCTTGCATGTGAATCTTGTACACTGAAAAAAGCCATAATGAATTAAACCAGACTGACTACCACAAAAAACAAAAACAAAAAAAACACACTACAAAACAAAAATCCAAGGTGACACATCCACAGCTTTTAGGGATAAATATTCCTTTCTTTTGTTGATTTTTTGTTCTTTGTTTTAAATAGGCAAACTCATTTCTATCTTTTTCTATTTTCATTTTGTTCACTACCCCTAATTTGCATTATTTTTAGTTATAGTATAATCCTAGGAGTTTTATCTTACTATAGTTTGTCTTTTGATTCTTATGACAACCTTGTAGGTATAATTTAAGAAACAGAGGCCTAAAAATGGTTAAAGTGCCAATTAACACAATTCATTAATACTAAAGTCAAAAATTTGAACCTAGGCTTAAAAAAAAGTAAGTCCATTCTTTTGGCAACTGTGTCATTCTTAACACTAAAACCACTTTTAGTTTGTGTAGTTCTTGTTCAGGGAATGCATTTTCTTATGAATATTTCTTTCCACACGTAGGTCAAAAATGTAATGAAAAATATCATGGCTGGATTGCAACAAACCAACAGTGAAAAGATTCTCCTGAGCTGGGTCCGACAATCAACTCGTAATTATCCACAGGTTAATGTCATTAACTTCACCACCAGCTGGTCTGATGGTCTGGCTTTGAACGCTCTCATCCATAGTCATAGGTAAGGAGACTGCTGAGATATTGAATAATTTTTATAAGTATTAAGAGACTGATGTTTTTTCTTTAATGTGGTTCCATATCATTTCCCACTATGCAACGTGTTAAGTGTGTTGACCATATTGATCTAACCATGTGATGAATAAGACTATTTATCCTATTTTATATGATATATCATTTAGTTGTTGAAATATTAAAATTGCTGAGCATGAATGTGGTTATGGTGGGGGAGAGGAATCAACATATCTGTAATTGGGACTCCGTCAGAAAATCAAGGTTATAGTCTAACCTTGCTAAGAATGTGGTTGGTCTTTCTATACAAATAAAGTGTTAGTATGAGTTTAAACTATAGAGCTAAATATGGTTCAAATTGCCATATGAGTGGCTGTAGTAAAATCAGTTTACCATCATCAGATTAATCATGAGTAAAAGAAACATTTCTCTTGTCTGATACACACTTAGATAGGAAATACCATAAGGCTCTGTATATATTTTTTATATTTCAGGCTTAATAGAAACTCTGGGCATCTTAGTAATCAAGGCAAAGAGCAGACCACAATTAAATCTGTGACTCATTGCTCAGTATATCGAAAGGAACAATTGCTCTGGAATTGCAAAGGAATTTGCTGTAAAGCATGAGAGTTAGTTCTGTGGATCTTCATAAAGAGAGTTCAATGTAATATAGCGAACCAAATGTCCTTAACTCTATTCCATACAATATTATATTTTCTAATATAACAAAATGTTTACATTTTCTTGTGTAAAACAGCCCAGTAAATGCATTAATAACAGTTCAAGAAAAAGTAAATAACATGGTAAACATATAATGTATTCATATGCATTATATGTAATATAGACATATTTTTACAAATATTATATACATATATACATATATATATATATGTATATACACACACACATTTACTGTAAGGAATATCTACTTTGGTTTTCCTGTTATCCCATCTTTTTTATCCAGCCCAATCCCCTTATTAACTGTTTGAAAGGCCCACCGGACTGCATCTTCCCTCATTTTCAATGCAGCTTAGCTTTTCTCTTTTACTGATGAGTCTACCATTTTTGTTTGCCAATCTAGCTTCTAGAAAAGTCCAGATTATAAATTTTATTCACAGTAAAGCTCAGTCCAAGAGCAAACACTCTCTAAATAAGCATCTTCATCAGGTGTCTTCCTCCAGCTGGGTTTAATTAACACCAGCCTGACTGAGTATCCAGGTGATTTGACTCAGCAGCCTTATTTTTTAAAGGAGACAGCCTCTTAGGCAATGGTAACACCTTGGTTTAGTAAGTATGACGCGAAGAAAAATACTCCACAGCTTCAGTACAGCCCAATGGGAAGGGATATAGACATTCATTCTGCATTATAAGTCAGCACTCATTTATGCAGCCACATGCTCCCAGCAAGGGCCTGCACATAGTGATCTTGTACATTTCAGATGAACAGACAAAGCGAGAATCAGGCTCTATGGTCCTTGTTAGCTCTTTATCATTTTCTTTTCAAGTGGAAGACCTCAGTCCTGCAAGCATGTTCACACACTACATTTTTTCATATTCTTTTGGGTTGTCGGAAAAGTCATGACATATTTTGTCTGTTTTTCAAAGGTCATTTATTTATATAAAGAACAAAGATCTATCAATGATATATTGTCCGTTTTGTTCGATAACCTTTTGCCATCTTTCAGTGAGCTTCATAATTCCTCGTTCATAGAAAGACCTGTCTTTATTTGTGAAAAACTGAACAAGGTGCTGATTTACAGCCTCAGCTGAATTGAGCGTTATACCACGCAAGGAGTTCTGAAGAGAGTGAAACAAGTGGAAGTCTGATGGTGCAAGGTCAGGCGAGTATGGTGGGTGTGGCAACATTTTTGACTGGTGATCAAACTTGTGTGTGGTCTCGCATTGTCACGATGGAACACAACTCCTTTACAATTAACAAGCTCTGGACCTTTCTGGATGATGGAATTGTTCAAACTGTCCAATTGCCAACAGTACACATTTAAATTGATTGGTTCCTTGGTAGGAGCTCAAAAAATACAACACCTTTAAAATTCCACCACACTGAGAGCATAACCTCCCTCTGATGAATGTCTGCTTTTGATGTTGTTTGAGATGAATCATCACGTCAGGACCAAGACAGTTTGGCACGCCACATTGTTGTAAACAGTCAACTTCTCATCACCAGTTATCATTCGCTTTAAAAAAGGATCGTTTTCCTCCCGTTTAATGAGCATATTGCAGATGTTTATACGCGTCATCAAATGAACTTTTTTGAGTTCATGCGGAACCCAAATATCGAGCTTGCTTACGTATCCCAGCTTCTTCAGGTGGTCGTGAATGCTTGAATGATGAATGTTCAATGTTTCTGCAATCTCTCATGTCCTGTAACATGGGTTTGACTCGATCAGTGCCTTTATTTTGTCATCATCAACCTTGGTGGGCCTCCCTGACTGAGGAGCGTCGTTGAGATAAAAATCACCAGCATGGAATCATGAACCATCGTTCGCACTGACTTTCTTGTAGAGCATTGTCACCGTAAATTTTATGCAACTTTTCACAAGCTTGACGCGCGTTCTTCCCTTTATGGAAGTAAAAGAAGAAAATATGGCAAAAATGCACAGTTTGGTCTTTCATCTTCAACTTGTTGTAAAATCTCCAGAACTCAACCAAATCACTCAATTTTTTCTTAGAATGAAGCTAGAACTGTCAGCTGTCAAATGACATAGCAACAACTTAGATGCAAATGACTCTAGTACTTCCAAAAATGAACTAGTGCCATCTGTCGCAAACATGCGTCATGACTTTTCCGACAACCCAGTATTTCGTGATTTCTCCATGTATTTGTAAGTACCGTATTTTGCTGTGTATAACTCATTCCCATGTATAATGCACACCCACATTTTTGGCCCAACATTCAGAGCAAAAATCTTTCGTTTTTATTTTTTAATTCAAATTTTTATTTGTTTACATTAGGTACTTTTTTGTATTATAAAGGAATTTTAGCATTTATTCTTTTTAACATATTGTACAAGAAATTTTGTAACATAATTACAAAACACGAGAACAGATACAAGGTACGAGAAATTTGATGCACTGGTAATGAAGTTATGATATTTACACATCATAGAAGGTGAAGAACTCTTCATTGTCGTTGCAAGTTCGTCGTAAGTTCAACAAAACCGATTATCATATCCAAGGGTATTATTTTGCATATGGATATCGTTATTGTTTTTTGAGTTACACTTTTAACTCAGAAGCATAAATAAAAGAATTAAAAACATTTATATAGATACAGAATTAGTACCATCCATGTATAATGTGCATCCTTATTTTTCCCTCACAAATTTGGGCAAAAAAGTGCACATTATACACAGCAAAATACGGTAATACTGTAAACATACCCAGATTGCCCTGCTGCATCTGTCCCTGACCCACTCTTTCTCGTGCAAAATATGTATGTATTCGCTCCTGTCATGTTGAATGAATCATCCATAGCATAACATTGTTACTTTTTTATGCATAACATTGTTACTTTTCAAGAGGTTTCTTACAGTTGATAATGCTCTTTCAGGAATCTATTCCCTCTTTTTTTTTTGGCTTTGACAGGTGTTCGTATTGTTTAAAAAAAATGGTTGAACTTTCTTTTTCAAGGTGATTGCCATTGGTACACTTAGGAATGTCATGAGGTGTTTTCCTTTCAATAATGGAGTGACTAAGCTATCTGGATCAAAGGCATGCCCTTAATATTAGAGCATTAGGGATTGACAAAGAGACTTTGCCAAAGGTTAGGATGTCAGTGGCTTTATAGCTATTCAAGGCTAAATTTTATCTTACTGTGTAGGAAATTAATAGTATTATATTAAAACAAATGTCCACTACTGTGCTGTTAAAAGGAAACCAGGTTCTACTTTTGTGGGGAAAGAAAAACAAATGATATTTGATTAGAAATAGGCTCAAATTATGCCGATAAGTTGCAATAAGTGTCAAGTTGCAATTAAATTTTCTTCCTAATTGCTTATTTTAATTTATTACCATAGAAGTGTCATAGCACGTGGTTTTAAAAATAAGTCAGATGGAGGGGAGGGGCGGGTGGGTAAAGGAAAAAAATAAATAATGTGTTTTCATGACCTCAATCCCATCCCATCCCACTCGGGCTCCCTAGATGTAGTCACAGTCTACAACTTCTTTTATTCATTCTTTCGGATGGTCTTCATAATTACATATTTCCCAATTAGGTGATTTCTGACAGTATATATATTTACTCCTTAATATGAAGCTGGAAACCAATATTAATTTTAGACTGTAATAAAGAATAGAAAGCATTTATTTGAGCAAAAGGAGCTGCAGCAGAGGCGACGCAGATTCAGGTAGGGGAGGTGGCCTTTTGTGGCGAAAATTCCCACCCAGGTTCTCAGTTAGGTCCATTTTATGTAAATGAAGCACCCAAATTGTGCAGATCTGATTGGATAGGGCAGGTGTCATTCTGTTGGTAGAAAGATGGAACCAGGCTTTCACTGCAGTGGTTGACTCAGACGGTGTAAACAAGTGGGGCATAGTGCGGAAGCCCAGAGTTTAGTTCGAGATCCTTCCCTGTACACAGAATACACGAGAGAAATCCCTGTCAGCAAATGGCTGCTAGGTTCTTATTATTTATAAAATCCGGGCCCTTGGTTGACCATGGGGAGTCCATCTCAACAGATAGATTCCCTCTCGAGGTTCACATCAAACTACTCTTTCTTCTCAGGGTCCACAAAGCCCACAAATATTACCTCTCGTCCCCGTCTGTTTCTTAATTAGATTATTATAATCATTTTATTCTTATAATTGTTGCCTGTATTACTTACAGTGATATTAGTGCACCTCTTTTTCATCAACTTTGGACAAGATCTGTTGACTACCTGCTGTGAAGAATGAGGAAATTATCACTTATACCTACTTCCTCCTCTTTTCTCCACCTTCCATTTTGTTACTATATTGTCATTCCTGCATCAAAAGTGTTTGTAACATTTATATCTATTTTGTAAGTGTTGGTGTTCTTGGCTTGAGTCTATAAATTGAAAATTCATTGCTGTTATTTTATAAATATAATTGACCATAGAACAAAGTAATAGAAGTTAATGCTTTTAAGCAATTATTTTGTAGGCACTGTTCTAAATATCACATCTATTTCTCATGACATAGATCCAATGATTAGCCTCATTTCACAAATTAGATAACGGAGGCACAGAGAGGTTATGCGATTTACCTAAGACAATTTGGCTCATATGTGATGAAGCCAGGATTTGAATTTATAGAGGAGTCTGCTTATCTACTAGCCTATGTTGTCTCAGTATGTTGGTTTCCTCGGAAGACTGGTGATCCTTGGTTATACATCCTGATTTATGAATTATAGTCTAGATAACATGGGAAGGTATATGGCTTTCCTCTACAGTAGGTTAGTTTTACAATTCTCTATGCATTGGAAAAATCATAGTTATTTAAAATTTAATTAATGATGAATTTTAACGATTTAAAACCATTAGAGTAATTTGAATGCTGGAAGAGACTTCAATAGCCATTCAGTACAGTTCCTTCTTTTTTAAATGAAAACGCTGAAGCTGAGATAGATTACATGACTTAGATAGCTCCTCACCCAGGTGATTAGTTAATAGCCAAGGTAAAGGTGAAAGGGATGAAGAGTAAAGGATTGGCATTCAGAAGAAATTCTATTCTTGTCTATCATACTCATTTAAGTTTGGTTACTGTACTGTGGGTGAGAAAAAACTAGTTACCCATACTCTCCCACTGAAATATTCATTTTCACTCCCATGATTGAGAAAGATGGGTCAGAGGTTGCATAGGGAAGTTCAAGTTTCCCCAGATAGTCTAAAATTTAATTTCTATTTTTTATAGTCTTTCCACTACTCGAGGCAGCTCTGAATGTATACATATTTTAGGTTCTAAAAGATTGTTAGTTGTTTTGGATAACTTGGAGTACGTAGGAAAGGTTAGATTTCCAAAGACGTGCATCAAATCCTGGTAAATTAATCAGTCTAGGAGTAAGAAAAGAAAAGGAAATGAGAGTCCAATGAGCAATAAAATTGTACCTTCATTTTGAATTAGGTTTTAGGAAAAACAGCTAAGCCCATCCTTGCCACTTCTTCCCTTGCAGATCATGACTTCTTAATTGGGAATCTATGAACAGACCCAGATGTCCTAAAACTCTGTGTAAATTCTATCTAAAGATATGGACAGGGATTTGTTTGGGTAGACATTGCATAGCACTCATCTGATTCTCAAAGGTATTTGCGATCCAAAAAAGGTGAAGAACCACTTAATTAATGATTTCTAGTATCATTGGGATAAATTGTAATTCCTTAACAGCCAATGCCTTTTGCACACCTATCCCTTCCTAACCGTATCTCACACCAGTTGATACTATAAATCTCCCAATGAAGCCAGGCCTGTGAGGTCATGACTGACTGAGCACATTTGGCCTCTTGCTTCCCTAATAATTTTTTTCTTTAGTATCTACTCAACTTAGAATTCATTCTGAAATACTTTTCTTAATCGAAACCTAAACCACCATTTAAGACTCCCTTAAGATTCAAAAAAACTTTCTTGACCTCTTTAGGTTTTAGAAAACTTTGTATCTTATTATTTGTATTTTTCACAGTTAAAATTTGTTTAAATTACAATGTATGCGTTTTTTTCCTTATCAGATTTAAAATCCATATACGATAAGAACTGCCTCTTACACTTTTTGTTATTTTTCTCTATTATTGAGTAAAATGACAATCATGTAGTATGTCCTCATCCGTTCTGTGGTGTAGTCAACAAATATTTATCGAGCCCCTACTGGGTTTCTAGAAGTGAACAAAACTGGCAAGTAAAACATTCTGTATCTTAAATTGCACTGGGGGAGATAGATACATAGGCAAGAATAATGAAAATATATAAAATGTTAAAAGTACAATAGTAAGTGCTAATAAGAAAAATATATAACAGTTAAGCGGGAAAGGAAATGAATACATGTAAGTTTTATTTGCAAGCCTGAAATTTGGGGGGGGGCAGGGAAAGACTCACCAATAGCATGACTTTTGAATAAAGACCCAAAGGATGTGGCAGAGCGAGCCATATTGATGTCTGGGGGAAGAGAATTCCAGGCAGAGGGAACAGCCAGTGCAGGAAACTATCCTATTTGAGGAATGTGAGGAGAGAGGCAACAAATCAAATCAGGGAGTTAATGGGGGAGCAAGACCATGGAGGGCATTGTAGGTCACAGTTAAATCAATGAATTTTACAGACTCAGATACAGAGAACAAACTGATGGCTGCCACATGGAAGGGGGGTTGGGGACTGGGTGAAAAAGGGGAAGGGATTAAGAAGTACAAATTGGTAGTTACAAAATACCCACGGGGATGTAAAGTACAGGGACTATAGTCAATAATATTCTAACAACTGTATGTAGTGCCACGTGGCTGCTAGACCAATCAAGGGGATTACTGCATATATTGTATAAATGCCTAACCACTATGCTGTGCACCTGAAACTAATATAAAATGTTAATGAATATCAACTGTAATAAAAAAATAAAAAGGTTTAAAAAAAAAGAATTTTACTCCCTAGATAGCAGGGATCTGAGAAGAAGGTTATGATGAAACATTTTAGCAGATCACTATGGCTGCTCTGTTAAGAATAGGTTACCAATGGCAAGCATGGGAGTAGGGGAGCAGTTAGAAGGCTAATGCAATAATTCATACAAAATAAAATGACGGGTTTTGATGAAGGTGTTGGCAGCAGGATAGTGAGAAGTGGTCAAATTCTGGATATATATTGGATTGTCGGAAAAGTCATGATGTATTTTTTGTATATTTTTCGTTGCAAAAATGCATGATGCCTTTTCCAATAACCCAATATTTCCAACTAAGTATTGCATGGCAGTGCAAGAGTGATCCAGGTTGATTCCTAGGTTTCTCGTCTGAGCAGTTTGAACTTCTGATTGGTTATTGAGGGAGGGAGAACTGCGAGAGAAGTGGGTTTGGGGAGGTGGGATGAATCTCAGAAGCTCAGTTTTGGACAATTGAGTCTCATGATGACTCTAGGTCAGCGGTTCTCAACCTGTGGGTCGTGACCCCTTTGGGGGTCGAACGACCCTTTCACAGGGGTCGCCTAAGACCATCGGAAAACAAAAAGATATTTACAGTACGATTCATAACAGTAGCAAAATTACAGTTCTAGAGTAGCAACAAAAATAATTTTATGGTTGGGGGTCACCACAACATGAGGAACTGTATTAAGGGGTTGCGACATTAGGAAGGTTGAGAACCGCTGCTGTAAGTGGACATACTGGGTAAGCAGATGAATTTAGAATCTGGAATTCAGGAAAGAGACCTGAACTAGGTTTATCAAATTGGAAGTTACTGACAAATCCACGAGATTGGTTGAGATTAACACATTTTTGTTGCTTGGATAAGGCAGATAAATCCTCCTTTGTTTTCTTTAGGATTTTCAATTAAAATTGGGCCTTATTTAAATGAGAAATATTATTGAGGGGGTAATGAAGAGTAAGACTCAACTCTTAAGGATTATGGGCATGGGTTGTTAATCAAAAATCAGAATTGAGGGGTGACTGGTTAGCTCAGTTGGTTAGAGTGTGGTGCTGATAACACCAAGGTTGCTGGTTCGATCCACACATGGGCCACTATGAGCTGTACCCTCCTTAAAAGAGTCAACTATGCCATTGTAGCATGAAAGCAATGTGTAACCAATGACCATGAGTGTTCCCCAATAAAGTTGAAAAAATATCAGAATTGAAGTGAATTTTATGAAACGTTCTAAATTGTGGTTATATTCGTCTTTATGTGTGTGTTTCAGGCCAGACCTGTTTGATTGGAATAGTGTGGTTTCCCAGCAGTCAGCCACACAAAGACTGGAACATGCATTCAACATCGCCAAACATCAGTTAGGCATAGAGAAACTGCTGGATCCTGAAGGTTGGTACATTTCTGGACTACCACTGCTTTTAGTATAGTTTAATGTTTACTGTCATCGACTTGACATTTTCACAAAGCACAAAGCACAAAGTAGAAACCATGCATGATGTATTTTTTTCATATTTTAGGTCTGTTTAAAATGTTCTGTTTTCTTGCAATATGTTATGAATTGTCCCATGTGACTTGAATTCTCAAAATACCAATATCTAAAACTAAAGTGTAAAACTTTAGGGAAAAAAAATCAGTGCCTTTATAACGTATATGCCTTTATGAATGGGGCATACTACATTTAGAGTACATTGACTCCAAATAATTATAAAAAGTTCATGTTTTGCTTACTCTACCAAGAGATTTGCTGGACTAATGAGCTATAATTAATTAGCCACTCTTGCGAATTTCATTCAAATACTCCATAAAAGGCAACGTGGTTTACTATTTAAATCAAGAAGTCTATTGCTGGCCCTGCGTCTGTTATAATTTGTGACTCTGGGGGAAGTCGTCCATGGGATGGTTATTTATTTTCTGCTTCTTTAGTTGACAGGCAGCACTGTATTTATATTTTTATTATATTACAGTTAAGTAAATTTCATCCTTATCTCTGGTACTTCATAGTCATATCCCCCAGACACATGGATTAGAGGGTTAATGATTCCTGACCTCTGCTTTTTTTCTGGCCGATGAGGCACTTTGTGTGTGTTTGCCGATCTCTTTGAAATTGCAGACTCTATTCTCACTTTCTTGAGGCTTTACCACTCTCTAAAAACAGAAGATGGAGAAGCAGTGTCAGTGGGATGGATACCTGCGATGTGATACAAGCTGATATTTGGAGAGGGTTATATCATTCACCGGTCTCTGGAATATTGACTCAATTCCAAATAAGGAGACCCTCGAGGGGTGGTGATAGGTCCCATCAGGAAAAGCTCAGAGCTAACTCAGAGGAAAGCCTTCGCTGGTGAATTTATCATTAACCAGAATCTGACCATCAGTGCTGCAGACTCTGAAACCTGATTGCCGCCTCTTATTGATAGCCGATCCCTATGGTGGCGGTGGGGGTGGGCGAGTTAACTTGAAACAGGCTCCAAAAATTATATATCAATCAAAATGGAAATTCAGTCATTTGAAATGAGATGTTTAACTACCACAAGAACCAGAACACTCATATCTAATTGACCAATATATCACTCTTGCTAAGCACATGTACTTGGGAAGGAAAATTATAACAGCGCAAATGTGTTTCTGAGGCTGGAATCAGATTAAATTCATTAGAAATGTTTCTTCTCCTTTAGCTAATACATAGCTGAGCACTGATGCCTGTAACCTCTCTTTGTTACTTCAGTAGATGATTAACATCCCTCCTGCCCCCGTTTAGCTCTAAGGAAAACTGTATCAATCAGATTTCCTTGTTTTGCAGGATGGGGGACGGTGACCTCGCTATTGATTTGTACTACTGATTTCCATGTTTTTTTCATACTCCTTTGAGGTAGAGAGAGCAGACGTAATAAAAATATGAACTCCAACTCCTGAGAAGAAGAAGTTCAGTTTATGGATTTGAAGGATAAGCCTGTTAATAGTTGTTTTTCTTTATCATTAAATCCACATGTGATAGTCAGTTCCCCTTATCTGGAATATATGCTGTAGTTATTCTTATGTGTACCCTATCCTTTCATAAAATACTGAGAGTAGGTTTAAAATAGATATTTTTCTCATGAAGCGATAAAATGGCTTTTGATTTCTAAATACTTCTTTGAATCATGAAGTTTGGGTACCTAAATAGGCATCCACATCATAATCAGAAAGTAGTAGGTTGATGAGCCTGTAATCAGAAAAGGGCAATTACATAAATAATGTATTTTATAATATAAAATAGCCTGATATACCCAATTCCATATGTTCTCCTAATTGGAAAGTATATGTTGAATTGCACATCATCTCAACCATAGGAACACCATTATAATATCTCAAACTTGACAATTAAAAGTCAACCAGATATAAGATGAAATCCATGCTGATTAATAGAAATCAAATCACTGGTGATGGTTTCATTTTGCAATGGACTCTTGGATCTGAAAACCCTATTCTCTTAATGGACTCTCTTCCAATTCAAAGAGTGTTCTGTCTCCTAAAATGGTTTATTAAAATTTATTTATTGCCGTCAATAAAGTGAGGATTCAGCATAAATCTTATATTTTTAATATCTACTAGTTTCTGCTAGTATGTTAGGGAAATGCCCAAATATGCATTTAAAATTTTTTTCTCAGTATTTTTCAAGCAATGATATCAATGATAATTGGAAAAAAAAATTAACCGAATCATAAGGGTTTTTATTTACTGATTTGTTAGTCATAGAATCTAAGACTTAGAACAATCTCTTCAATGTATCTAATGGGAGATTCATCGACTTTTTTCATGTCTTTATGGTAATTACCTTTGAGAAGTTCATATTTTTATTTATCCAAATATTGATTCTTTAGCTTAGGCATGACAATGTCATCTCTTCTCCAAAGCCATTTTTATTTCATGTCTAGTAGGCCCCTGAGGAGGTTAATGAAACATGTTGCTTTATGTTTGGGAAGATCTTTATTATTAGGGGGTTGAACTTACATTTGGATTAAGAAATACATGCCAAAAAAATCTTTTTAGAACTTTAAACATATGCTTTGTTGATTGGGTTGATTTATAAATTAAAAAGTCATTGAAATATAATTTGGAGGTTTTTATGTATCGCATATATCAACTTTGTTATGCTTTGTTTGGCCTTAACTGGTGCTCTGAGACCTGAGGTTTGGTTTTAAGTGGAATTGCCTTTTACAATGAGTAGCTGTTGTATTAACATAAGCCATTTCAGAAGCTGTTTCTGGTGTGTTTAAATGTTAACATATGCAGAAATAAGTACTACAGGGGTAAAATTATTTAGTAATTTATGCATCTTTATGCTCACAGATAGAAAAGGTTTATCTCCTTCACAATATATCCTATTGTGAATCAGACGATTCACTTTCTATCACGATTTCCCTATCAGACATACATAGTACGTGCATGATTGTTTTCATATACATTGTGTGCTTCCCTAAGTTTCAAACAAATTGGTTTGTTTGCCAGTCCACACAATTTCTGCATTAAGAGAATGCTTTGTCAGCTTTTCCTAGTGAATAACAAAGTGAAGATGTTCTATTTAAAGGAATGAAAAATTGTGCCGGTTCTAGATGACTTTTGCATATCACTGTAGTACGTTGATATGCAGTATGATGTGTAAATGTTCTTACTTATTAGTCAGGGTAACTTAAGAATGAAAAATGAACGATGAGAGTCAAATTTGAGGAACACTCGGGCTTGTGAGAAATATTTGTTCCCTCAAAATGACATTTACAAACCAATTACTTTGGTTTTAATCCACTTCATTTTAACTTCTTGAGGACAGTGACACAGATGCTATTTTCTGCTTGGCTAATCCCTCTATCACTCTTCAGTTGTTTTTAAAGCCTACTTTCCCAAGAATTAGCTCTGCCATTTGGAAAGTTTTACTCCTGCAGTAGTCTCAGCCTAAACTTTGCATGCGTGCAATTTATTAGTCCTTAAAAAAATATTCAAGGACAAGTATATAGCATTTGCCATAACAGAGAAGAATGTCTTTAAGGCCTCTGATATGGGTTTGATTTCAGTTGTTTGAGCAAGTGGTGTTTTCTTTTCTTTCATCTTTGTTCCAAGCATCACATTTTGATACCTTAACAATAAGAAATGTTAGTAGTTTATACTAAGTGAAATGGCAGGAGGAAAACCACGGCAGTTTAGAGGAATGTTGTTAACTTAAATAAGGAGAAACTTTTATGGATATGCACACTCATTTCATATCATTTAGATTGATTTTTTTCCTAGAGCCCACTGTAGAATACCTTTGTTTTCAGAAAATGTAATGAGGATGGAATGTATTGATGGTCCTCATGTGTATAACATTTCAACTGGAAATGATTATTTTAACGATCTCACACTCTTTAAAGCCAAACCCTCTGCAATGTAAAATGGTTTTTTTTTCATGTATTAAAAGACGATTTTAATAGTATGGCCATGACCTTTTTCATAGCAAAGTAACCTGTACAAAATATATATTCCTTTGCACTGTTTTATATTGTTGATTTATATCATTATCTCTGGCAGAGGGTCTTTAGAGATATTACAAGGTGTTGTCTAAACTGAATCCTGGGTTCCTTGGAAGAACAGTTCTTAGTCTATTTATTCTGTTATAGAAAAAAGAGCGCATCATCATCTGCTTTTGCAGGTACAATAATAGCAAAATAATGTTACTGTTTTGTCAGCAGGAGACCACTTTTTCCATGTTTCTTTTTTTAAGAAACATTAAAATGTGATCATTAAAACCAAATTATATAATTTAATAGTGTTAAATGTAATAATAATGAAAATATTTCTTTAATTTTGAACTTCAGTAGATTGTAGTTGAAATGAACAAGTTAGAGATGGCATTATTGTATTCGCGAAGGAGTGGGATCCACTAGTAGATTTAGCATTGCCATCTCATTTGCTTCATGTACATTCAGCACCACCTTTTAGCAAAGGAATTTGGGAAACACCATTTTAAACAATTTAAATATATACTTTTATTACCATTGGTTAAAACAGCCTAGCACCAATACATAATGAAGTTTTAGAAGAAGTGATGGCCACAGAAAAAGTCGAGAACCATATGATTTCACTGATAATGTGGGATATAAAATTGAAAGCAACAAGGGAACAAGACAAATGAAGAAACAAAAACCCATAGACACAACAGTTTAGTGGTTGCCAGAGGGTAAGGGGGACGGGGGGAGATGGTAGAAGAGAGTAAAAGGGATCAAATATATGGTGTTGGAAGGAGAACTGACTCTGGGTGGTGAACACACAATGTGATATATAGATGATGTATCACAGAATTGTACAATTGAAACCTATGTAACTTTGCTAACCATTGTCACCCCAATAAACTTTAATTAAAAAACAAAAAACAAACT